CACTGAGGAGTTTCCTTGATCTATTGGGGTATATATATTACTACAGGTTTGTTTGTACATATGTACTGTATAGTTGATGGAGGCAGTGGCTGATGATGTCATAGGGCACAGCCCATGTGACCAGCTCCACTGCATGAGATACTTGTATCTAATAATAAGAAAAAGGCAGTGCAGCATGAGAAGTGGAGTTTAAACCATACTGGAAAGTGCCACATGGCACAGGGTGTGAAAACTATAGTAAAAGGTTAAAGAGGAGAATGAAAATCAAAGGTCCAAAAATGTGTTATCGTAACACTACCCCCTCTAAGGCTCGACTTCCAGGCGAGACCAAATACCGGAGGTAAATAGTTAAATTTCCGGGCATCAGTTGAAAAAGGGAATTAAAAAGGTTGGAATCCATGCCTCTAAGCTTCCTAGGAGCCGAGGGATTCTTAGAAGAAAATTTGCGAACAGCATTGTGGGAATTGTCCAGATGGGCTCCTGGTTCCCATGTTCTGTCCTTGTCTCCATAGCTCTTCCATAGGACTAGGAACTCTAACTTTCCACACTTCAAGCGTGCATCCACCACCTGTTCGACTTCAAATTCTTCTTCACCTTCCTGGGTGACTACCACCGGTCTGGGCCGGTCTATGCACTGTCCTAGCAGCGGCCCTTTGTAGGGTTTCACACGGCTAATATTGACCGTGGGTACTACCCTCATTCGTTTTGGGAGTTCCAGCTCCACTGCATTGGGTTTGACTTCCTTAATCCGGTAAGGACCAATCCACTTTTTGGTCAGTTTTCTAGACTGCCGATCTTTCAATTTTAAGTGGTCGGTATCTAACCAGACCAGGTCTCCGACCTTGTAGTCAGGGGCCTTAGAGCGTCTACGCTCTGCCCTGTCTTTCATCTGCTCTGCAGTTTTGAATAGCGCTTTGCGTGTTTTGTCTAAGGACTTCATGTCCTTGGCCATGTTCCCAGCAGCCTTGTTCTTGCTTTTGCCAGGTTCTACACCCATTCTAGGAAGGTACAATCTTGTAACCTCGGATGGTGCTTTTCCTGTGGCCAACGACTGTTTGATATTATATGAGAACTGGGCTATCTTTAGCCACTTGGCCCAATCTGTCTGTCTATTGTTAATAAATATACGGAGGTATTGCTTCAATTCCTGATTGAGCCTCTCCGTTTGTCCATCAGTCTGTGGATGGAATGCCGTTGATAATTTAGGTTTGATGCCCAGCATCCGGCATAACTCTTTCGTAAATTCGCTAGCAAATTGTGGTCCCCTATCGGAGATAACCGTTTCCGGTAATCCATGGATAGACCATACAAAATCTTGAAATAGATCTGCCGTACCAGCGGCGGTAGTGGTTTTGTTGGTGGGGATGCACACCACTTCTTTAGAGAAGCGATCTACTACCACCATTACTGAGTCATACCCATTTGATTCGGGTAGACCCATTGTGAAATCAACCAATATATCCTGCCAAGACCAGCTGGTATCGGATTTGGCATAAGTTTACCGGCCGGCGGTTGATGTGAATTCTTTGCCATGGCACATCTCAGACAGGATTTTACATACTCCTGTACGTCTTTGACCATGCCGGGCCACATGTAGTTTCTGGAGATCAACTCCATTGTTTGTTGCCATCCAGGGTGCCCAGCCACTGGAGTGTTGTGATGTCTGTCTATTGCCTTAATCCTTGCGGACTCAGGCACATAGATTTTGTCTTTAAAAGGGAAGAGCCCGTCTTCCCATAAATAGTTTTCATTGCCATCAAGGCGTGCCTTCTCTTCTGAGGAGATGTCTTTCTTGAAGACTTCCAGAAGATCGGAATCCTGCCCGATGTCATGCACCAAAGTTGATTGGTAGCATGGACAGGTGTCAATAACGAAGCGAATATTCAAAAAGACTCGCCTTTGCGCCACACAGGCATAGTGCCATGTGGAATAGTAATTAATATTGCCTTTTTCGAACTTGTGGCTGATCAGCACCACCTCTATTAGGCAATCCAGTCACGCTCACCTTCGCTTTTCCATCCGTTACTTTCCGCGTTTCGGCATTTTGGCAAATTTTTGCATCGCCACTGGCTACACATTGCATTGCGCCCTCGCTTTTGTCGTTTCCTTTACTCCCCTTCCTTTGCCTAGCCCCACCATGGGCCCCTTCCTCTCCTTTTTATTCTCACCTGACGGTCATTTCTGGATCCCCATTCTAATCCACTTGTTCGTCACCTCCACCCTCCTCCTCCTCATCTTATTTGCACCCCCACCATTTCTGATGTCACCACTTCCTATCCGCTTCCATCACCGATCCGTTGACTATCACGTGCCACTGCTGATATCAGCAAAGCCCCGGCGGCCGGTTCAAATAGGGCAACAGGTCCATCTTCATGACGTCGATCTGCCATCATATACTATCAAAACATCGGTCGCTCGTCTTGCCTGGTTGGAGCGTGGGTGTGTAGTTTTTGAGCTGGAGAAGGTTCATCCCCTTGCGTCGCCCATGTTCATTGCTGTCCCATTCACTTGGGTACACTTGTCTTTTGTCCATCGTCTTCGCTACAGCTACACCTACCACACGCTGCCTGGGACTCACTTGTTCCAAATTGGAACTACTCCTCTCCCTCCCTCGTTTGATCAGGTGGTCCAACACAACCAGTCCATTGGTAAGGCCATGGAACTGTCGGATTTGGACTAGGTGGTGGACCGGTGGCTCCAGTTTCTTTTTTTTCAGCAGAACATTCATTTACAGTGCAATTATTTTTGATTTTTGAATCATTTTTATGGACACATATTTTTTAGAATGCCTAACTGACAATAAAGGAACTGTGTTGATACTGATAGTGTTTTGCCTTGCCTTTTTTTTACTGCATCTTCCCATGACATCATGATTTTCCTGCTCTCTTTTGCTATTGGACTTTACTTTATGGCTGTACAAACCTGTGACATTACTCACAGCATTCATTGTTCTATCCCTTTCTTTTCCTTTTTTGACAATCTTATCCTGTACTACCTACGCAGGATTTGTCAGCATACATTCCTTCCTTCATGTTCTTTCTCATTCTTTTTGCACAGCTATACTGTGCATAGCCTACTTTTCTTTTACTATATAAACCCCTGTATTTTACCTTGTAAAAAAAACAAGAACTCCAATCCAGACTTCTTCTCTAATCTCAAGTTCACTACTCTCTGCTACTTGTGATCCAGTGTGGTCACAACACTTCCCACTGCTACCACTGTTAATTGCTGTCATTGTCACTTCCCACTTTTGAAGTCATTGTTATCCCTTTCGATTAGAGTCCTTCTGAGCACTACAGTTTGTGCGTCAGGAGCCTGCTATCACTGGGAACCTCGTCGTTCTCAAACCTACCTTGTGCTACCATTAGCAAGGTAGTGCTCATCTATACTCGTCACTAAGCCCCTATCTTCTATAAATTCAACTATCCCTCCTCCTCAAAACCCACACTCATACACCTCTGGGTTTTTACTTTGAAGGATCTTTATACGTACCACCCCACAAACAACCAGACCACTCCACTGTTCTAGGAGGCAAAGCCCATAAACAAGTTCCGTGGAATCTGGGAGGATTGTGTGTTAGTTTGTTTTTGTGTGTGGTTTTCTAACAGCAGTTCTCATCATCGACACCAATTCATAATTAAACCTAGACAAGTACACCACATAGCAGGCCTGTTTTCAGTTCAAGTCTCGGGCCATCATTAAATACTCCAGATTCTTATGATCAGTCCAAATTTCAAATTGGTGCCTAGCACCTTCTAAGTAGTCCCGCCAGTGCTCTAAAGCTCTAATGATGGCCAGCATCTTTTTGTTGTAAATTTGATAGTTGCACTCTGTAGGTGACAAACTATGTGATAAATAGGCACAAGGCCTCCAAAGATCATCAGGGCATTTAATTGATAGAACAGCCCCAGTAGCAAAATCAGAAGAGTTAGTTTCTAGCCGGAACTCTTTGTCTAATTCTGGAAATGCTAATATGGGTGCCATTGTAAACGCATGTTTAAGCTTATCAAAAGCTTCTTGTTCTTTAGCACCCCAGTGCCAAACAATGTCCTTTTTTGTGAGATTGTTCAACAGTCTCGTTATCTTTGCAAAGTTTTCAACAAACCTTTGGTAGAAGTTGCCTAAGCCAAGGAAGGCCCTAACTCCTTTGACACAAGTAGGTTCAGGCCAATCCAATATAGCTTGAACTTTCTCAAAATCCATCCTGATTCCATTCTGGCCAATTGTCATACCGAGGAAGTCTACTTCCTTTACTTTAAAGTTACATTTTTTGGGTTTGATGAATAGGTCCTGTTCCTATAAGCATAGAAGGACTTCTTGCACAAGCCTGTCATGCTCAGCCTCATTGTCCAACTTTGTAAATATTAATAAATTGTCAATGTAGATGACAACACAGTTTTCCATATCTGCAAGGATCTCGTTCATCATGCTCTGGAAGGTTGCCGGTGAATTGGTTAACCCAAGAAACATAACGAGGGGTTCAAAGGATCCTCGGTGGCATGTGAACGCAGCCTTCCAGGCATCCTTTTCTTTGATCCGTACATTATTGTACCCCCATCTGAGATCCATCTTTGTTAAGATTTTGGCGCCAGCCAATTTGTCTACTAGCTGACTGATTAAAGGCAGCGGATACGCGTTTTTAACCATGTGCTCATTCACGTAACAATAGTCCATAATCATGTGCTTTTTACCATCCTTTTTAGGGATGAAGAACACTGGGGATGTCATAGGGCTTTTGGAAGGTCTGACGTAACCCTTTCTAAGCTGTTCGTCTATGAAACTTAATACTTCATCTCTGTCTGGGGAAGAGAGGGGTATCATGTGTCCTTTTCTAGGTTTGAAGGTGTCTTTCAAATCTATAGCATGGTCCCAAGGCTTAGCCTCTGGGAAGTGCTCTGATTTTTGTTTTGAATAGACTTTCCAGAAGTCATAGTACTCTGGAGGTACCAGCCACTTAATCTCTTCCTCGGGCTTTACCTTGTCATTGTCATTGTCAAGATCCAGCCTAAGATTAAATTAATCTTCAATAGTTGGGTAGCTTTGGCGGTGACTCGTTCTCTGTGTCCTTGGTACTCAACAACAAAAGAGCATTTGTGCATAATGCAGCCACCCACATTAAGGGTACCGTCAACATTATAGATGGGAATAGATACATTGCATTTTACAAGGGGGAGTCCAATTTGCTCCGCCCAGACCTGATCTATGAAGATGTTGTTTGCGCCTGAATCAAGCAGTGCACTGGTTGAGTGTACTACGCTCAGGGCAAGGTTTTCCACACCAACGTCTAAACAGATCTCTTTTTGGAATAAATATGTGCGCATCAACACACACCTTGGGATTTTGGGGAAAGGTGGGTCCATAGAAGAAGAATCAAAAGAAACATGTTTAATGTTTTCTATATGTTTATTTTTACTTTTACCAGAATCAAGCACCCTAGTAGTCGTCTCTCCAGGGCCATGCTCCTAGGGAGACACTGGTGCAGCAGTGGTATAATAAATATTACAGTTACAATTCTCTATACAAGTACATACTTCAGACAATAGATTTAGAAAATTGTTTACAAATAGGGGAGCCACCCTCTTTTCTTTATTGCTCATGCAACACCCTGGAGCAGGGGCCACCTTGTTGTGGTTTACTTCATTGTTTTGTGGAGCAAAGGCACCCAAGTGGCCTAAGCTCCAAACTCTTTTCCCTGAGCCTTCATTTCAGCAACCTGTTGGTCGTAAAAGAAGGCCTGGGTTCCGTTGTATGAACAACTGGCCAGAGTATTGAGCTGATTGTCCGGCCTTTCAGTTTCTAATTGGTGTGCCTGGCACCCTTGGTTATTTTTTTTGTTGGGTGGCCTGCACCCCATTTCTGCAATTCCGGGATATGTGTCCCTATTGGCCACAATTGTAGCAGCTGCCCTTGAATCTGCACATCTGTCCTTGCTGGACTGCGCCGATATCCATAGGGGCTCCCTGCCCTGGTTGCAGCCCGAACGGCTTGAACCCATGAGAATAATTATGATGGTTTGATGACCCCGGGCGTCTCTGGGATTGGTGTTTTTTGGTGGTGGGCCCGCCACCTTGATGCATCACATAGAGCTCCATGGCCCTACCAACTCTGTGAACTTCCTCAGCCGCCAGGGCCAGGTTGTCACTTTATGTGTCCTACAGATAGATCTGTTCTGCAATGCGGGGGTTCACATTGCGTTCTAGCAGTTCCACTGCGTGTTCCTTGCCAAGCTCTCCTTGGGTAGAGAGGGCCAGGAACCGGGTAACATAATCATCTGTCCTTATGTTTCCTTGTTTGAAGGAACAGATCTGCTGACATGCCCAGTCACGCTCAGCCTGCGGTTTAAAATATTTTTCAATCTCAACCTTGAGATTGTCCCAGGTAGGCCACACACCCGCCGTGTAGCACTCTTGAAGTCTTACTTGGGCATACTGACCCGCCACAGGTCCTTTTAGTCGAGACAGCACAGCAGTTGCTATCTCAAAATTGTTGGCAAATGTGTCCCAATTTGCCTTGATCCAAATTTGTAGCTTGGTCCACCATTCGGCATATCGAGCTCTGTCTCCTTTGAAAGCGCCAGGGTCAGCAACAATCTTGACTTTCTTGTTGAACTTTTGCTCAACTGTAGGTTTCGCTGCTGGGGCAGCCTGAATCTGTGCATGCATATTGTGCAGCAGACTGTTTATATCCGGTGGCAACAACATGTCAACTTGTTCTCTTTGGTAATGTAAAAAAAAGGTAACTGGGGGTCCCCACTTGCTATCTGTGGATCAACCTCTTCCCAGCTGAGTATTGGATCTCAATCTCCAACTACCCACACTATAGTATTAGAAAAAAATATGTAAAGTTATAGTACAAAACCCTGGTCCAAACAGTTGTCAGGGGGTGGTCTGCTTGTTAGGCTGTCAACCCTTCTCCAGACTGGCGGAGGCAAGTGCCCGGCCCGGTCAGAGGTATTCAAAGAAGAAGTTTTGTATTCTAAAATCTAATCAACAGAGGTTCCACACCAACTGCTGAGCTATGGTACTCCCCTTAATGCTGGGGGCCGCGTATCAAAGGTTTTGGTTCTTCTCCAAAAGCACTACAAGGCCGTCGCTAGGAGCACACTCTTCTGCTATACGGGATATTCCAAATTAATAACCCCTTAACCTTGGGGACTGGGTTTGCACAAAGTGCGAGAGAGTAGTAGGAGCAAGTCTAATGTAACAACCAAAGTTTTGATACTCTGGCGCACAACTCAGACAAAGCTACAAAGGTAGTGAGGGGAGTGGTTACCCTTAGAATAGGACTGAGTTAGTTGTGGGTAAACAATAGGAGGACTTGCTGAGGAGTCTCCTGGATCTATTGGGGTATATATATTACCACAGGTTTGTTTGTGTACAGTTGATGGAGACAGTGGCTGATGATGTCATAGGGGACAGCCCGTGTGACCAGCTCCACTGCATGAGATACTTGATTCTCAAAATAAGAAAAAGGCAGCGCAGCGCAAGAAGTGGAGTTTAAACCATAATGGAAAGTGCTGCATGGCACAGAGTGTGGAAACTGCAAAAGAAAATTGAAGGGGATAATGAAATTTAAGGGTCCAAAAATTGTGTTATCGTAACAATTACACTATAGTGAGTAGCACCTCCGACTATATGTAGTAGGGGGTTTAGTATAGTAATACCTCAGTCATTTCTATAGCCTCTTAGGAAGCGGCTGAGTTTCACTTAGATTTATTAGGTTATGAGCCTTGGTGGCACAAAAGCTACACAGGAAATAATTCTCATTTGAAACGGCAACCTTGGAACCATGACCACAGCATACAATACATCCGCATGTCCAGTTCTCACTGGACCCAACAATTTCCAGATATGGAAACTCCGGATCATCTCAAAGCTACGTCAGGAAAAAGTTCTCTGAGTTGTTACTGGAGAGGAGCTTAAGCCCTCACCAGGAAAGCTCACCTCCTTGGAGGATCCTGAAACCACCGGGATGCTTAAGGATGAGAAAGCACATAGAATTATCCAGGACCACATCTCTGATGCCCTCCTAATGAGGACTGGAGACCTCACCAGCTCCAAGGAGTTATTTGATAAACTTGTTTCACTCCATCAGACATCCAACATTGCCTCGGCCTCCTATTCATTCCAGCAACTCACCAAATTGTCCTGGGATGGGACATCACCTATCCAGGACCACATTGCAAAAATCCGGACAATTGATTCACACCTCTCCAGAATAAAACTAGGAGTTGATACCAAACTCATGGCTTTCGCTCTTCTCCAATCTCTCCCATGCACTCTTGAATGGCAAATATTTCAGTCATTGTTAATCAACACAATTGAAGGAAATAAACTTACCTTTGATGCAGTTGAGATCCAGATCACTGCAGAAGTTGCACAACAGTCAGGAAAGGCCCCTGGAGGTTCCGAATTAGCACTCAAGTCCGAGGAGAAGTGGTGTGACTTCCACAAAGCCAAATCACACAACACCTCAGAGTGTCAAACATGTCAGTCAGCTGGAAAAGGTCAAAAGAAGAAGGGAAAGGAAAAACACAAGGATAAAGGAAAAGAGAAGGAAAAGGGAAATACGGCAGAGCAATCATCTGGATCTGACTCCAAGGAGGAACAGAGTTATATTGCATTGGAACATGTACATATTTCCAAGCCCCTTGCTAAACGCATTCAAGCTTACCTTGAGTTGGAACCTAATAAGACCAATCAGTTTTGGGGGTGAATCCTCTGTAAATGCCATTGGAATTGGAACAGTAATCCTACAAGCAACTGTTGGCAAAAAAGACTACAATATTGCACTGTCAAATGTCTTCATTGTGGCAAACTTCACTTTACCACTTGTCTCTGTCCACAAATTGCCTAAAATGGGGTTATCAACACTTTTTCCAGCAGGGTAAAACGCTTGTGAAGTTCGGAAAAAGGAGGAACTTATCCTCACTGCCTTACACAAGCGAGAACTTTATCACATCCAAGCAAAACCTGAAATCAACCCGGAGTCAGCTTTTGCAGCAGTAGATGTGAATTTATTGCACAGGAGAATGGGACACATTGGAATGGACCGCTTGCAACGAATGGTTACAAAAGGACAGCTCCAGGACATAGACACCCTTACCGGAACCCCGGAGTTTTGTGAACCTTGCGCTTTAGGAAAGATGAAGAAATTACCTTTCAAGTCCACTGGAGGAAACCGAGCCAAGTGCCCCATACAAATTGTGCACACAGATGTTGGAGGACCAATCAAACCAACCTCCAGGGAGGGTTTTTGGTACTGGGTTATCATTGTAGATGATTTCTTCAAATTTCCATGGATATATTTCCTAAAACACAAAAGTGAAGCACTGGAACAATACAAGCAATGGAAAGAAGATGTCCAAACATTCTTCCGAACTCATTTGGGAGAAGAAAACTTCACTCCACTGTACACAGAATTCCTCCGGAGTGATGGGGTAGGAGAATATACTAGCAATGCATTCAAAAATCAACTCCAAGGAGATGGTGTCATCCAAGAAACTACAGCTGCAGATACTCCGGAACAAAATGGCATTGCAGAACGCATGAATCAGACATTGGCTATATTAGCAACCACTATGCTCCATGATTTGAAGCTCCCAAAGTCATTTTGGGTAGATGCCATGCAAACAGCTGCATATACCACAGCACACAGCCCAGCATCAGGACTCCATGGAAAGACCCCATATGAAATACTGTTTAAAAGGAGAGTTGATCCAACTTTGTTTCGCCCTTTCGGATGCCAAGCATATGCCTTGATTCCGAAAGACAAAAGGCAAGGGAAGTTTTACTCCAAGGGGCGCAAAGCCATAATGATTGGCTACACACATGGAAAGCAAGCCTACAAACTCCTAGACACTGAAAAATGGACTGTGTTTTCCAGTCAGCATGTCATATTCAATGAATCTGGAAAGGTACAAAAGGATGACACTGCTCCCTGGAACACAGACACTAGCACAGATCAGTGGGAGGGACTCATTCCAGAGAATGCTCACTATCCAGACCAAAAATCATTGGAGGAGGATGATCCTGACCCTCGGATCCGAGATCCAAATGAATTGCAAATGGAACCACATCTCCAAGGAGATGTTCCACAAGCAATGGTACCATACCAGCATGAATATGTTCCTAGAGCAGTGGGGCTGTGTTTATTGACACTGAAGGCTGGCTCCCCCAAAAAGCCTGTCATTCAGATTAGGCTACAGTACTCTTGACTCGATCAACCTCGCAGCAGTGGAGTCGATCTCAGAACACGCACTCCCAGTTTTAAGTAAGCTATGTCCCATGTTCATATAGCAAAAACCAAAGCTACAGAGCTTCAATACCACAAGTTTGTCTGACTACACTTCTTCCCTACAGCAATAAAGGCAAAATCTCCAGTTTGTTCATTAAAAGCCACTTAGTAGACCGCGATACGACGACGGACGCCGAGAGTCCTTCTGCATACATCAGCTAAACATGAGATTATTTTTGTGATAAATAAAAATACCTTCGCTGGAGGAGGTTGGCAAGCTCAGAAGCAGCCTCTTCTGCCTGCTGCTCAGCAATGGCAGTAACATTCACTGATAACGGGAAGGTGGCATTGGTACCGGGCTTGGACAGTCAAAATAAGCTAACACTGCTGAGCAGAGGAGGGTAATTGTAAATTCACCAAAGTCATGTTGCTATTCGTTGTCATGTTCGGGTTCATCGTGGAGTTTGGATTCTGGCCGACGATAGGCATAGATGTCGTAAGCGGCGTCCCAGCCATAGTACTCGAGGGGGTCATCTGGCTTGAACTATTAGCAGGCATAGCTCCAGCCTATTGCAGGCGAAGGTGAGCAACAAGACCTAAAATAGAGGATATGGCACGTACACTACCGGTAGGCCCAGGAAGATATGCAGTCACGGTAACGGTAACGGTCCCTGAGCAAGAACCCGACGAGCCTGTCGAATTAGCTGGGCTCATTGACGATGGATCAGTCATGTTCATCGGGACTGTCGAATTGGCCAAAGGCATTGTCATGTTCTTATGGCCATTGTGCATTGAGGACGGCATTGTGCTGTTCATAGGACCTGGGCCATTTGGGTGGGGAAAGGTTGTTGAATTTCCCATTCCTGACGATGGATCACTCATGTTCATGGGCCCATGACCACCTTTAAAATATCATGTTTATATTCAGCGAAATATCACCGAATCACAATACTTGCCTTGCATCGAACCGGAGCTTCCCTGAAATGATTGCTGTTAGCTAAATACCTGCTGATAGTCCAAAACAACGTACATTATCCCGATTTTTAATCATACCACCTCCAGAGCTCTGAAAAGAAGCACATCAGCAAGTCACATCACAATTGGTAGGGCATCAACGCACATATTGAACACCAGTGGGCAATGCCAGGGCGGAGCCTGCAAGGATAACGGCAGTAAAGGGAACAAGAACGGCGCGGAACAACATTATGACTCGAAAAATAACAGTAAATGAACGAGGAAATATTATGTGCGCTGCACAAAGAAAGAGTATAGCGTGAAAATGAACGAAGAATGTCGATACCAGATCGACACGTGTGATAAGAAAAGACGCAGTGAGTGACCAAGTGGACGCTGAAGAGCCATTTGCTGATCGTTGCAGAGACTATATACCGGAATCGCTGAGCACTGCCTCGGCATCAAACGTTATGCAAGGCAGATATCCGAACCTTCAAAAGGATCCGGCCCATCAGAAATGACACAAATGTACTTCACTGCACTCCAACTTGGACATTTTCCAGACAAGCAACTCCTCCACAACTCCTCCGCATTGACACAAGTGCGGTAGTAGTAAACTGTCCAGAAAAATTATCGTAGGACGATAACTCCAATTGTGATCGATTAATTCACGTATGGATCTGGCTGCGATCAGAGACCAAATAGCATCATCCTAGGAATAACCTGAACATGACATTCGGAGCCTTCATCGTTGGTCGGGGGTTGACATGGACCTTGCGTCGACGGGATACTTAAGTTTTAAAAAAATGTCAGTTAGTTGCGGTCGATCATGAGATCCAATGTTACTGATCTCGGATTACTGGTCGGATCAGTCACGGTGGCTGTAGATAAGATAATCGAGAATTTTTCAAGTCCTTCAATCTGATCTCTCTTTATCGCACTGACTATTCGGCCATGTCTCAGCCAATTGGTACGAGGAAACTGTCCTTGCAGTTCCATCGCTTTGCTTATTGATTGTAACGAAAAGCCTTGTTGTCCGTGTACGACAAAACTGGCCTTATAGAGTTTGCCCAGGGACTCCATGCAGCAGGAGTACGCCTCCTAGGATCTGGAGGCACTGCGAAAAAGATCAGAGATAATGGGATCCCCATTGAGTATGTTTTATCCAAGTGTCATTTGAATTGTGAATGAATCGTATGCCAGAGATGTTTCTGACATCACAAAAGCTCCTGAGATGCTCGGTGGGAGGGTGAAGACACTTCATCCTGCCGTTCATGGTGGTAAGTAATTCTATCCATCATAAAATATGCATAAATGATACATCACTGAACATGTTATTGCATTAAAGGCATTCTCGCACGCTCCATCCCCTCCGACGAGCAAGACCTTATCGCTAACTCCATCTCCCCCATTTCCATCGTCGTCTGCAACCTCTACCCCTTCACATCCACCATCGCTTCACCAAACTGCACTCTCGCATCTGCCATCGAGGAGATCGACATCGGTGGAGTCACCCTTCTGCGCGCAGCAGCTAAAAACCACTCTCGCGTTTCCGTCCTCTCCGACCCGACTGACTATAGTACCTTCCTCGATGCCTGGACGTCAGGTAAGGGCGAGGTCAGTCTAGGGCTGAGGAATAAGCTTGCACTGAAGGCGTTTGAGGTGACTTCTGCGTACGACGAGGCGATCAGTGGCTACTTCAGGGAGCAATATGCCTCTGCAGAACTAGAAGGGCCAGTGGACCCTATCCAGAGAATGGTACTGCGATATGGCGCAAACCCACACCAAAAACCCGCCCAAACGTTCGTAGCTGAAGGAGAACTCCCTTTCAAAGGTAATAATTTGATATCGTCCTCTTCATAATTATAGTATCAACCAACACACTCGGCTCTCTAGTCCTTTGCGGTTCCCCAGGCTACATCAACCTCCTTGACGCCCTCAATTCTTATGCCCTTGTCAAAGAGCTACAAGAGGCACTGAATCTCCCTGCCGCAGCCTCCTTCAAACACGTATCCCCAGCCGGTGCAGCCGTCGGTCTCGAATTGGATGACGTCGAAAAACAGGTTTATGGAGTCGACGATCTCAAGGAGGCGCTTACTCCCCTAGCGTGTGCGTACGCTCGAGCTCGAGGTGAGTGCAGGTGCTGTAATCCATGTGATGCAATCAATAATATAAGGTATCAGGTGCCGACCGCATGTCCTCTTTTGGTGACTTCATTGGCCTGTCTGCTCCATGTGACCTTGCCACGGCACGTATCATCTCGCGTGAAGTGTCCGATGGTATCATCGCTCCAGGGTATACGCCCGAGGCACTTGATGTACTAAAAAAGAAGAAAGCAGGCAAGTATTGCGTACTCCAAGTAAGCCGTAATTGATTTTCATCGTAACAAGGGCACAATACTGAATCATTCCCCCCTTCGTATCTAGATGGACCCGAAATACACGCCCCCGGCGATCGAGACACGTCAAGTATACGGAATTCATATGCAACAAAAGCGAAACGATGCTAAGATCGGGCCAGAATTGTTCTCTAATCTCGTGTCTCAAAACAAAGAGGTGGGTTCATACTTTGCTGGGAAAAACGCCATGCTAACTTACCAATCTATGAATATTCAGCTTCCCTCAGCGGCGACGACAGATCTTATCGTAGCGACACTTGCCCTGAAGTACACTCAGTCCAACAGTGTCGCTTATGCTCTCCACGGCGCTATCATCGGTCTAGGCGCAGGCCAGCAATCGCGCATTCACTGTACCCGGCTCGCAGGGTCTAAAGCCGACATCTGGTGGCTCCGCCACCACCCCCGCGTGCTCTCCCTCCCCTTCAAAAAAGGCGTGAAGCGAGCTGAAAAAGCTAATGCAATAGATCTCTTCGTGGGTGGAGAAGAACTGGAAGGTGGTGAGCGCACGTCTTGGGAGTTGCTATTTGATTCCGTCCCGGCAGCATTGAGCGAGAGCGAGAGGAAGGAGTGGATAGGAAAGTTGGATGGGGTTGCGTGTTCGAGCGATGCGTTTTTCCCGTTCCCCGATAACGTGCACCGGGCGAGGAGGAGCGGGGTGAAGTATCTGGCGGCGGCAAGTGGGAGTGTGATGGATGCTGAGTGCATCAAGGCCGCAGACGAACACGGGATGGTGTTTGCACACACTGCGTTGAGACTTTTCCACCACTGAAGTTTGAGCCGCGAATGGAGCAGTCTGGGGCGAAGAATATAGCTGTAAGAATTAGAATGTAGCCTAGGCAAAATAGATCACGAAAGCTCAGCTTTAAAAGGTTTCGAATCCACAAACTCGCACCTAAAAATCTCGATAATAGGATTATCGATAGTGACATTAAAAAAGCAAAAAGAATGAGCTGAATGAAAAATGATGCTACCTTTTCGCATAGTACAAGGTACTCTCATGTACATTTTTGCAACAAGAACCACGGGTTGTGAGAGTATGGAAGGCCAATGTCATCAAGAAAGCATCTCTTTGCCATTAAGGCGGGTAGAAGAAGTCGCCGTGATTCATGGCCCCGAAGCGAACTAGGCGCAACGCTCAAGAGAAGACAAGTACACGAGAGAAATAGCGTTTTATCCACCACAGCCATGAAGAAATATCTTTCATCATCTAGGGCTTAGTTCCGATTCAACTGCTCGCTCCAAAATCATTTTTGCGCGAGAGGGCGTCTGTGTAAAAACTCCAATAGCAGACGGGCTTTGAGTGCGTGGGAGTCACATATGTGCGTGTCGGAATTGTTTCTGAATGGAAAGCACGATTGCTGGAATACATGAATCCGCGAACTTATAGCTGGTGTTGAAATGGTTCAATAGTACTCAGTATATAGAGCGGTTGCAGAGTGAGCAGAGAAGTGAGCGCTTTATGTGAGTTAAAACTGAGTGGACTGGACTGTCGTGTATTGACGGAATAATGAAACGAGATGCAACAACTCGAAGAGGTTTACCCATAATATTAATTGTAAACTGCCAATGCGACGCAAACTTGAAAGAGATAGAAATGCACTGACGGTGCGCCGCGGAGTTCGCTTCGTAACAGGAGTTTGAATCGTTCAAAGCTCGCACCATGTCATGCATGTCGCTTGCACTCAGGCTTCATTGTATCCAATGGAATCAGGCTCTTCTTCAAAACGCATCTTTCCCCCGCTATATGTCTCTTCGGGAGACATATCTGCTGATAGACTTGCTTTTTTCCATATCTTGGAACGGCTAAAAGTAATTGCGATTTCAATACTTCTCATTTAATTCCTTCATAGCCTCGCTCACCCCGGTCATTCACACAGACACAAAAGCGAACCGGATGGGTTGATCATAAAGGGCGTTTCAGTATATCCTCTTGTGAAAATGAATGTTAGTAACATCGAATTGTGTAGATACCCAATCCAGAGAGGTACCGTTTATTCTTCCGCTATATCCTGGGACTGAAGAGCTCATTTTTTCATCCCAAGTATATCTGACCATATGTATCGTATGGCTCTCCTCGCCATGTGTACATCCGATGCGAAATTGGATGTATCGAAGTGCGTAATTTCTCGTTCGACTTTAGTTGATTTTATAAATAAAATTGCAGATGTGTTATGATGTGCCTCGTTCACGATCTCGCAGAAGCTCAAGGTAGGGATTATGACGTAAATTATATTATATAGATTATCAACACTTACCCTTTATTCTATTAATAGTGGGAGATATTGCTCCTAGGGAGGGAATAACAAAAGCGGAGAAGAGGAAACTTGAGGCGGTAGGTGTTCTCGTGCAGTGATGTTTACTTCATCAAAGATTGACTAGTGGCCGGCTGTCTCTTTAGGATGCTATGCACAACTTCGTCTATGAAATGTTACATGGCAGCCCAGCGGCATTGCGGATCGAGGATCTCTGGAAGGTATGACAGCCATAATCCTTTGCCTCGTAAATACTTTTTCACCCTGTGTCTTCGAAATTCTTGCAGGAATATGAAGAAGGCGAGTCCGATGAAGCGAAATTTGTGAAAGGTTTGTTCTGCATTGCTAGTCAAATGGTAGATATTAATACTCGCACCTCAAGATCTCGATAGGTTTGAGATGGCCACTCAAGGTACGTAATATTTTCTACTGTGACACTATTTATTCCTTACGTTCATGCTTCTCTTTTTAATCGGCTATAGCGCTCGAGTATGAGAGGGCACACGGCGCACAAACACTCCAGCCCTTCTTCGACAGCAGTTTGCCATATGTTCGGCATGACGAAGTTAAGTCGTGGGGAAATGATCTGGTGCAAGAGCGCGAGAAAATAAGTTTAGAGGGAAGATGAGATGATTATGAGTCTAATAAAGGTAAAATGAAAGTGCTACCAGTCTTCAGATTTCTGTGGTCGAGTTCCAGCACAAATTATTATCTTGAAATGCATAACGCGTTGACTCGACCTCAAGATGCTTCAGTATTATGGTGCGAGTGCCGAATCCACCCTTCCAACTCATAGCTTGCATATTTCAAGTCAAGGTCAACACCACTGCATTTCTTGCAGTACATACCGCGCAGCTGCTCCTTGCTGTAAGGTCTAGTGTAATGCATGCCGTTCAGGAGCAGGTTCGGAACACATTCAACTGCGCTGGACACCGTGCTGACAAATGTCAATATATATCCAGGGTAACAATCCGGGCTCGCATTCGGGCCGAGTATGAAAGAGAAGACTCAGCATGCAGTACTGTCAACTCGTGATTTCATCTAACGCGGAGATCCCCTATCCAGGAACGTTAGGGGTCATAGCGAAGGCCTCGGGCAGTGCAAGGGTGGTCCTTAGAAATGACAGTTCACCAGAAACTCTATGAGCTATCACTATGCCGGTATGTGTGGGTCTAGCTCAGGACGACATGAGCTTTCTGCAAACATATCTCATATCAGAGAGCCGCCGCATCGGCCAAGAAGGGCCTGGTCTGAAAGGTGTAATGGTTCGCTGTCTTGTTCGGACACGTGTAGATGAATGAGGACGATCCTGATTGGTCGATACCTCCCAAGTTCAGCAAATTAATCTCTCTTGTGGGCAAATATGACACGCCTCGTTTGAACAGCGTTTAGATACCAATTCAAGCCGGAGTACCATACATATCTGATAAACGGTCAGTTTATATAAACCACTGCTTCACGTTATACCCTCCTCTACTTAGTTCCTTCCCTCTGCGTTACCATGGCCGATCCTGAATACGAGGTAGATACTGCGGTCGATCTACAGCTTGACAGCGACAATGATAGCGCCCTCGGTGACGACGATCTTCCAGACGATGCAGACGAAGACTTCACCGACGACGACGACGTTCCCTCGGATGATGACGAGTACGACATTGACGATGCTGCCTATGGTGAATTTGGCGGAGAGTACGACGAGGAAGATGACTATGACGAGGAAGATGATGGTGCTAGTGTTAGTGATCTCGATGCCGATCTGCCTGATGGGGAACACGACGACACTCCTCTCGAAGTCACACCCTACGTAGCCAGAGCTTCTGCTGATGCGCCATCCAAAGCAGAAAACCTATGTGCCGTACGTATCGCTCTCCATCCCAAACTTAACGTGCAACTGAAATTTTTATGCAAGACATGTCACCAAAAGCCTCGATTTTTCGATGGTAAGGCCCTCTCTCCGTACTGCAGCAGGACCTGTATGGCAAATGCCAAGGGACCCCCGCCGGCCAAGGCTCCACCCCCGAAGCCCAAACCGAATGACAATCTCTGTATCGTGAGTATTTAAAACACGCATTATTCATTCGCCTTCTGAACAAAAGTGCCCCTATTCCAGGTCTGCCACAACCGTCCAAAATTCACGAACTCCCAATTCTGTGGTAGGACTTGCGCGTCGAAAGGCGCAGGCAAAGCCTATGAAGCCAACGATCAATCTGACGAATACAAAGAGGAAGATGATGATGCAAGCATCAGTGATCCCGATGCTGATCTCCCCGACCACGCGGAGGATCAGGACGATCTAGATGAATACGATGATGAGGATACCCCTTTCGAAGCTGCAACTGACGGTGCAAAAGCTCTCGCCAATGCAGGCAATCTATGTACCGTACGCGTCTCATTCAAATTTATCCCATCCCACTCTCATCATTTAACTAATACCTCATCCAAAAGACCTGTCACCAAAAACCTCGTTTCTTCGATGGGACAGCGCTGTCTCCTTATTGTAGCAAGACCTGCATGGCGAACGCGAAAACAGCAACCATGATTGCTCCGACGGCAGCGATAGTGGCTCCAATGGCCTTTAAAGCGACTCAAATGACGTTCAAAGCAGCACCGATGGCCTTCAAAGCGACACCAATGACTTTGAAAGCTGCTCCGATGCTCGCACCAATGGCCGCAAGGGCGAAGGCACCCGCCAAAGCTAAAGCCACTAATCTCTGTGTAGTGAGTACGATAACCACACCCATTCCTCGCCTGCCATTACTAAAACTAACCGCAAAACCATAGGTCTGTCATAAACGTCGCAAATTCAAGACGTCTCAATTCTGCAGCAAAGCTTGCGCATCCAGAGTCAAAGGAAAAGGCAAACATGTCGGCGGTACGGCAAAAACGCAAGCAGGCCGCGGCGGCGGTCGTGGTCGTGGTCTCTGCGATGTCAGTCATCATCTCTACGTGTTGCCTTTCACGTTGCACATTAATGTTGCTCACTATCATGGTTGACGTATTCGGATTATTAATGTAGTATTGTCACAAAAACCGAAAATATGTGAAGGGGAAGACCGTTTACCCATTTTGTGGGAAGGTTTGTGCGAGGAAGGCTAAGAAGGCGCGACCGAAGCCTACTGGACGTATGATTTTCACCCAAATTATTGTACAAAATACCCTCTCACCAGACGCTTCTTCTGATTTTTCCAGCGGTTTGCGCGATACCAGGCTGTCACAAGCCAGTTTTCACACTGAATGGAAAAGCAGGCAAATATTGTTCACGAGCTCATGTCGAGTCAGTCTTCTTTCAACTTGAAAGTGGTGTCGCTAACATAAACTGCATTTACAGACTCGCAAAAGTAGCGTGTCTTGTATGTCGCAAGCGAAAAAGACGCGGAAAATATCCCTTTTGCGGGAAAACATGTGCTCGGCGAGCGCAAAAGATCGCTCCTGGACTGTTGGAAGCCCCACCTGGGCACGTCATGTTCAACGATAGTAAGTACTCACCTCTGGCGTACTGGGCTGTATCCCTAAAGCGAATTTCGAACTCTTTTCTATCCGTTCTGGCCAGTTGTGAACCAGTTCAAGAAATCATGGAGAATAGCGACCGCTCAGGCTACTATCAAGAAAGTGTACAAGGTCGTGTGTACAGGTTCTTCGGTAGCTCAGTATAACAAGTATCGGTGTGTTGCTCCTTTATCTCAATTTCCCTCCCACAAGAATGCTCACACCATTGCTTCGTTTACCCTTGATTGTTTGGCGTACCATATGAGTAGTGCTGGCGTAGAAGCTCGTGGGCATTTCAAGCGCCGAAAGTTGCCAGAGGGAAATGAACGTAGACGCTGGCACGGGACGAGGAGGCGAGTCACTTTATCACTTCACGTTACATACAGCTGATATATCCATATGGTAATGTCTACGCTTATCTTGCACAGAGAATGCAAGCTTGGTGACCCAGGCAATACCAAACTCTGCAAGGTGCCAACTTGCAATGTGTGCAATATCATGCGGTCATCTCTCAAGGTGTCCCAAGCTGGAAAGAACTACGGTATGAGGTGAGCTTGATGGCTTTCTAGACTACACGTACGGTGATTAAAGTTCACTTCTTTCTGTTTAAGATTTGGAGCGGGTGTTTATACTTCTTCTTCTTCCGAGACGTACGTATCCTTCACTGCACCTAGGCGCCTAGCTTACCTTTTCCCTAGTTCGGTTGCCTACTGTCGCAACTCCCCAAACAACCCCTCACCCTACAAAGCGATGTTTCTCACCAAAGTCGTTGTTGGCCGTACGATTAAGCCCCTGATGGACCAGCCGGCATGGACTGCGCCGCCTGCGGGATACGATTCAGTGGTGGCGGAGAGGAACGTGATTTACGGGGACGAATTGGTGGTATATACGGATAGGGCGATCAGGCCTTCTTATTTGATTGTATTTCAATAACGTGGGGATAGGGTGTTGACAGGCGTACGTCCATGCTTAAATTTCAGTCAATTCGCGTTTGTTTGCTTCTGAGATTTCAGATGTCGAGTGAATGCTGAGGTGGTTTTAGCTGCGCATGCATTTCAATTCGAACACGAGAGATAGTAGGGAAATAATTTCGGGACATGTTGTCTGATGACCGGACAGGAATGCTGCTAAGTCACGGTTAAGACGCCGCGGCTTCAAATCGCTCAAAGTGCCGGCAAAGATGTCAAAAGAAGAAAAGGGGTGCGTAGAGAAGCGCAGAAATGACGAATTTGAATGCACATGTGTAATCCTCTCGATATTTGAAAATCGGAAGACCTTCAAAGAGCGCCCTTGCCTTCGATCTTAAACTGCAATTTCCAGAGCGTCCCTTCATAATATTTACATCTTTACAGCACTTGTAGGTAACCAAAATGGGCTCTTACTATTAATATCTAAACCCACTTGGAACCGTTTCTCAATGTCGGACCCTTGTAGATACAGAACTTATAAGCCCAGTCCACAGAGGATGACCTCCAGCTCTGCGCACCCTCTAATATTTTAAAACTGTACGCACGTCTAGTCTTTCTGCGCACACTATATGACATTGTTGCTATAGGTCAACATCCACATCACGTCAGTTAGCCCTGATAGGCGTTCTTTTATCTCTCCTACAGGGCGGAGCTCCTCAGCACGAGGGTGTCCACAATGGAATATCACTCAATCTTAGGGCCCCTTTGTGGAACACAAGAATCATCCACTCCGCATATCACGACCAATCAATCAGTGTTTTGTGGATTAATCGCGCTGCGTGGCAGACAACGGCCCAGGTACAGTCAATTCTTGAATCGAAACCCTGTTGCATGTACCTCACTCGTACATAGTGGTGCAGTCATTTCGACCTGCGTCCGAGCCAAGCATGCGCGGTTATCATCCAAGGGGAACTCAACCGATATAGCATGTGCCTGTAATCGACTTCTTCAGTGAAAATTGGAGACTGACACAGTAGTTCTGAATTCGGTGAACTATATTTATGGTTTCGCAGTCTGAAATTGCTTGTCTATGATGAAATGTTGTGTTGGAAATACAGTCTGTAGGCAAGCGCTGTACGGCGAGCCCGCAGGATGTGGCGCGAATACTAGATTAGGAAGGAGTTGTGTTTGAGTTGGCCCGTGCGTGTTGATGGAGAAATTTTTACTTACATCTTTGCTTCCGTTTTGCTGGCGATTTATAAGTCTTCGTAGCAACCACACCCACCTCAGTCTTTCCCCCCCGAAAGCTGAGGTGAGTATATACCTGGTTATATGTGTAGTTTAACATTACTTACTCCTGTACCTAGCTCTTTTGATTTGACTAGGTAGGACTCGAATCTAGCTCAGTCTTTTCCCCCGAAAGCTGAGCTATTTTGATTTGACTAGATTGTTTTAAGATGTTGGTCAATTAGGAATGCATATTGATAGACCTGGAAATTTTACACGCAGAGGGTCACACGATAGTCTGAGGTTAAGAATTCGTCACAAACCTCTGGGCTTGATTGCATTACTTCACGATTCACGTAAGAATATATAGATGCTGAAGTCACTATCTAGAAGCCCCGCCTCTATCAGAGTGAAGAGTCAAACTATATCATCGTATAAGAGAATATAACTAAGGCATTTTGTCTCTAACAGAGTCAAGTCAGACGCTATACATCACGGTCGTGATTTTGAACAAGATACCTTTCATAGCACCATCACAATGGCTTGTAAAATAGCCAGCACTCCAAATGACTGCCAAAACATGCGCGATTTTGCACTCTTTGCACCACCTTTACTCCCATTCGTCTTTACAGGGCTTGCACTGGTAGTGGTGTTCGTGGTAGTGTTGTTCGTAGCATAACCACAGCCGCTAATACCTTTGCCACCCACACAGCAGCTGCCAAACGAGGCGACTGACGCGTTACCCGGAGAGAAGGAGCCACCGGCGGTCGTGAAAGGGCAACCGTAATCGTTAGTGGAGTTGAGGTAGACTGGCGTGCTGCCAACGGAAATGCAACAAGTAGTTAGGGTAGCGTTTGAGGAGCAGCCACAACCTGTGACAATGCAAGTCGCATAAAACGGCATATAGAGAACTGAGAGCAAGCGCACCCATGAAGTTACCGGGGAGCGAGACGGACATCGTATAGGTATATGATGAGAAGTAATGATAAAAGGAGCTTTGATTTGTATGGCTTTTCACAGTAAGGGGTCTGCACAAATGCGTCCCGAAGGGAGCCTTTTAAACATGACTTTTGCACGGCATGGCAAGAGGGAATGGCTGTGGCATGAGCATCTTGGATGACATTGCCCTGAAAGCAATTAATCGAGATACGGATAAAGGTTGTTGTGTCACTAGCCATGAGTGATGAATGCTAGTTCGGATCATTCAGTCTATGCGCTTGTCAACAAAAGCTGAACTTCCTGTAAAGACAAGTCACCGAGATAGATTATTTCGGGGGCCATGAAACTCTGAGTCTGAATATGATATCTACTGGTTTGGTTGGGGTATGGAGGGCCGATGGAACCACCGCTACTTGGAACTGTATATGAGACGATTTTGCCTTCATGCAAGCTCAGTCCCATACCTTTAAATCCATCAATACAACGCGTTGTAGAGCGGGCTGTGGCCCAATTGTCTTGCATGCAGCCCATACGCTTGATCCCTTCACACCTCGTGAAGACATCTGATCGCGGTATCTGCTAGTTCCCGAGCAAGGCAGTAGAAGACTTCTGTGGGCGGAAGACTGATTCGTGATATGATGGGACGTATTCGCCAGTACAACGGTGATGTTTAACTGTCATACAAATGACACGACCTGTGTCTGTGCATCATGGTCCTGTCTTAGCAGTATATGTCCTACGCGGAATATCCCGAAAAGCGACGAAAAACCATTATGCATGTCGGTGCCTCGGATAGTCGGATAGAATACTGACGTCCATGGTTTCTCCTGTCGGATCTCGGATGATGTGTTTCCCCCAGCGAATTAGAGGAGGAATTCAGTCAACTCGCCGAGTATCATAAATTAATTTAGCCTTCTCGGACCTTGCTGATAAGGATAACATCATGATGGATGATGGTTTGATGGTTTGATGTTACGACTCTTCTTCCGTGATTGGTCTGCTTATAGGAGACTACAAAATCACTGAGCAATCTTAATATTATCCTAGTTCGTCATCGAAACAAAGGGAAGTCGTTGAAAAGACACCCTCCCCTACATGAATGAAGGATGAACGTTGGATTATTCGTCAAATTGCTTCAGGTAGGTGACAAGGCTTGGTTTGGGCTTCTTGCGCGTTATTGTGCTGTTAACTAAGGCAATTACGCTCTGGTTTGGTCTTGTTCCCCCTAAGCCAACACGTTTCAGCACCCGTATGCCCATGTGTGCTTCAGCCATCCACAAATATCCAACTTCAAGGGTGCACAAAATCGCTCTTTTCTTGAATGTATCTCCAAATAAGCCCAGATCTGCCTACACACCATCGTCAGATATGACAACTTATATGATATAGATGCATAGCTCACGATTGATGGCGGTACCATGGTATGACTATACTCCTCTTCGAACTCGACACCAAATTTCCAGGCAGCTACAATAGCTGCGTTGCTACTCCCACGGCGGAATTTTCCTTTACAGAAAACCTCGTACCCCGGGCGACTCACTACCAACGACCGTAGATAATTTATCTCCTCTTGTACTCGCTTTCCTATTGGTCGTCTACCATTTAACGTCTCGCCTCTTTCACCTTTCGAATTTTCGAATCCGAGGTCTTCATAATTAGAACATTCGTCTTCTGATTGCACGTAACTGGAATCTGAGTCCATGCAAGCTTCATCATAATTCTGGTTTCCTAAGATGTTTTGCTTGGGTGGAAAGTGATCGACTTGAGAAGGGCTCGTGATCGGCAGAAAAGTAATCTTGGGGACTTTTCTGAGGGGCTCGTCGTTTTCCGAGGATAAATTTGTGAGTTCGTCGTCAGCCATTCCATGCTTGACAAATGACCCTCTGTGATCGTTCTCTTTGTGCAGATGGTGCAAAGGTGATTTAGTCTCCGTCACTACCTCTTCTTGGTTCCTGGGTTTGTTGGTAGCCTAGATGTATGTGAATACCAAGCGGTCATCAGTGAAACATATGCGCACATGTTGTATTGTGATCATGAAGGTGTTTGAAGTAGAGATTGCTATAGATTTTATCTCCGGCTCAACAGCCAGAAGTGATTTCCCTTCGCGCGTCTTTAGGAGCATAATTTGGTATTCTGGATAAACGGGGTCAGGATAACTTATCCTGACGCCATCGGTACAATCTACTGCCTAAAATGAGTATGAGGACGTCAACGAAATCCTATATTGTACCTTCGACTGCACTAGATTCATGGAGCCTCCGGATTAGCTGCCTAGTGTCAGCATGCCATCCACATCCACCTTGCGCACATTCAGGACCATCGACTTCGGTGAGTATGATAGGACATGATACTCGCGTTGCTTTTGAGTCACAATCCAAATCTGTAACGTACAGCTGTACTTGATGCTGTGCATGAGCTGAAGGACGGCTTTTACGTTTCTTAGAAACTGTGGTCAACACCTCTGGCGCTTCGGGACGCGGCGATATCAGGCCAAGTGAAGGATAGTATGACTGGGTACATGCCTTGGTATGAGGACAACTTGAACTCTCTACCTGATATCCTAGATGATTCGCGGCTAATGAGAGAGACGTTATCATCTGTTTCCATGCTCGTCACTTCCTGACTCGACTCGGCTGTTTGTGAGATCGTTGGTGCAAATAGGTAGTTTGCAGGAGCTGTAAATAAGGCTTTGATGAAGGCAACACTTGTGTCGAGCCAAGATGATTTCCTATACCATGCATTTGAGTCGTCAGTTCCAGGTAAATCAACGAATATGTTATAGATTTTACGCTGCCAAATCATGCTTAGCATTCACTCTGGGTCTTGACTTAGATTTGCGAGCAGAACCTTTAGGCATGGCGATAAGCGAGTGTACACTGGAGGCTGAAGTGATGGGGACTTTGTGGGAGTTCAAAGAACCAATGATTGACTGACCCTGCTTCCTTTTATCTGTATTTTCTACCAAACGACGATCGTTCCAGCATGTGAAATTTCAATTTCTGTTTTTGGACGGTGGCATGTAATGACATCATAGCAGTTCGCTATATAAGCCCTTATATCTGAAAAGTCCTAAAAGCTATCACCCATATCAGTAATTAGTCTTTAGGACAAGGGAGAAAGCGTAAAGATTGGCTTGATTACTATTAGCAAACTGAGCGTGTCAAGGTTCCTGATAAGGCATACAACGTAACATCCTCCCACGTTTCTATCAAGGAGCCCTTTGCTTGAACGTCCACTGACCATAGCAATATCATGGATTCAAAAAGGCTTACACCTCCACCTACTATCTTGACACTGCCAACCGAGCTTTTCATTTCAATATCTGCATACTTGGACGCCCAATCCATTCTTTCTTTGCGCAAGGCATGATGAGTCCCATTCGCATGGAATTCCACTAACCCGACCTACCAGACATGTCGTTACCTGGCTGATCTCACCTACGGTAGAAGTCTCTGGCATGACCTCTTTTATAGAACTCGTTCAACGCTGCTACTCCCGCATCATCATGCGCTCTGCAATCCCAATACAGCCACACGGTCAGAACTCGAACAGATAGTTTTCTCAGCTCTGCAGACTGAGCGTGTGTGGCTCAAACCTCGAGAAAGTCACGATCAATTTCCCATGGCATTCATGTACCCAACTACACTGCTCGGATCAAACTTGCTCACTCTTAGATTTTTCCTCGATCGTTACATTTTGGCTGTGCATCCGACTGGTCAAATACGTCTCTGGGAAGTAACATCATCACCCTTTCTGTCTGGAATTTCAGTCGCGCTTCGCGCTTGCCATAATGTTCGTGGTTCCCTCGATATGCCATGGTCGATGTGCGAGGCTGGTATGAACATGGACGATTCGTCCCTTTTTGTAGCAGTTCAGCACGAAGGGTAAGCCTCGCGCAAAATAATTGTATCCTAAATCAAGTGATGATATGTGTTATTTAGCCGTGGTGTTGACATATTATCTATTTCCTTTTCTTATCTATCTACTTTGCACACATCTGGCGGAGAAAATCCTGGTGGTCCAGCGATCCCCAAGCCATTCACTCTCATATCCACTCTTGTACTTCGCGACTCTCAAATTCTTCTATCCATACAACCCGACTCGCATCTTTTGTTGTTGTCAAGGGAGAGCCACGTCGACATCGTTAACTATCAAACTACAGAAAGTACAAGCATTCCCATCGGCTCGAATGACCCAGAAGAGTTGGTGAGTTTATTTTTCATCTGTGACAGGAGTTATATGGTTTTCCAACCTTAAATTGTATGGCTGCCTTTTCTCTCCTCAAGTGGAATGGCATAATAGAAGTGCGCCTTTGCGGCCGGCATATATTATGCTTTAGAACACGTTCGATCGAAGTACATAGTCTACCAATACCCACCGCTGAACTTCAACACCATGCTTCACCATCAGGTCACTCGCCGCTCGGCTCGCCCATTCTAATCCACCGATTCCATAACAGAACATACCACAAAGTCTCGATTTCTATGCCTAAATCTACCACTTTTCCACTCGTCGAAGGAGAGCCGAACACTTACACACTCTCCGTCCTGGCTTACGACGTTCACAACGGACTTTGTTATTACGCTATTACGCTATCACTTTTTCCTGTCCCAGCGCTCGACGTTACACTTTTGGCCGCTCAGACCACAAGTCTCTCCCCCACATCTCAGCCCTCACAATGCTCTCCTGACAACTCGCCCATCATTCCACCCACGCCGTTGACTACTGCAACTTCCAGTAGCACGTCTGTACCGGCATTCGTTACCACTCACACGTTTGGTTCCCATGGCCGACGTGGAGTGTGGGTGGAGAGGGTCAGGGGAAGTACGACTAGAACTGTAGTTGCTTTCGTTTCTCCGGATGCTACACCCGCTGGGGTAAGCGGTACAGATTACATCCCAGGAAGTAGTGACAATGAGCCGTTTCGTCAGCGAGATGAACAAGGAACCAATGACGAGAATCCAAATCCCGTTCAGGGCGAACTCTGCACTAATGTTCCTCCCCTCAACGCAAGAGCTGTTTTCAGCGTCTATTCATACGATTTACGAGGTGCGTACCTCAGATTTCATTCACAAAAACGCCCTAACGCGTTTATTGGCAATGTGCATATATTTTTGTTTGGGTTTACCTTGTGGCTGTTGGCTGTATTTCATGATATCGTATGGTATGTAAACGGTTTCTCACAACTTTCGTGCTATTTCAGAGGATATCACTATTTGCGCGCTATCTGAGGCTACCGGGAGAATAGCGCTGGGCACGAGGACGGGTGCGATTCGAGTTATATGATATCAGGACATGATGCAAGACCAATAGTCTACCTCCCGAGTGCTCGCTATGATTCATCTTGACCTTGTACCATATATCAGATTACTCAAGCTGCCTCTCGTCTGTCTCTACCGTCGAGCGCAAGACGTTTTATCGGGTGATACGAGTGCGTATTTTGATAGCTAACAGCAAGTAATTCTACGCCCCGTTCTGTTTGGATCTCAAGCTGTTGACAAACAAAGTGTCTGGGGTCCGATAAATTAGACGGATCAATTGTGTCAAGTCGCGGGTTGTTCCGTGCAACCTACAACATGGCTGTGACTGGGACTCAGAAATGGCGGGGTGCAAGTTGTACTAGTTATCCAGTTGTCATATCGTGAACCATTGACTGTCTAGGATGTCCACGGCAAACAATAGCATCAGTCCAGAGATAGTCATACCTTCGAACTTCTTCGGTATGTTCTATATTACACATCGACTCGACTCGGATGTGTTCTTGTTGCCTATTTTTACATTGAAAGTACTCTAGGTTGTGTCTCCAGCTCCAATTCCAGTCTCAATTCTTGCTGCAGCTCCGCTGGAAGCACGCCCGTTTTCTTAAATATCACCGACAACTATGGTTGTCCTTACACCGCTCTCAATGGCACCTTCCCGCCCACACAAGATTCGAATAATTGGTTTGGGAACTGTTGTGCCGGCCAAAATGCCACAATTGGATGTCTTACTAAATCGAATAGTGGAAGTGTGGGGGTAAACAGGCCAACTTTGTGGGCACCGTGGAAGATATTTTGGGCCTTGGCTATTTTACAATGCCTTGTAGTGATGTCCTGAAACGTAAGGGGCTATATTTGTATAAAAAGAACATTATGCTGACAGGTATCATTGTAACAACTTCTCTTCAGCACAGGCCAGGGTCTCATGTATATATCCTACGTAGCAGCGTAATGGCTCCATTCACTTCAATCACTCTAGTGTTGAACACGTGCTTATTGGGGTCCCCTCGTAGTGGACAGGAAGCTCTCAGTTTTGTTGACGTCCGGAAGAATCACATGATCCGAGGTTGTTGATGAACGTCGATGAACATCAGATGGCGGCATGCAGCGTCTAAATTAAGGAGGCTACTACCAGTCTCCCGCTGAATTACCTGTCAGGGAAATGTCATCCAGGGTTCCCTATATCGTAGTCGTGCCCATCCTTAGCTGTGCGAAAGGTCATGTTAAAAACTCTCCAAAGCATATCCAAGTCTGTGGTGCGCACTGAAGTTCCTTTTATCACCCTCTAACTAGATAATTCTGCACAATGCCTAACAGTTCATCTCTTTATCTGGTAATCTCCTGGATAATCTTGTTCTCCTGTTCTGAATGCAACTTTACGCAACCTTTATCGTCACTAGGCTGGGTGCTGCTGCATAAACCCCAAACCATAGCTTAGCAACTTGCTGTGCATCCCTGAGCACAGTGGTTTACCTCAGCGGCGTGGGCGACTATGGTTCGCCTTACACACCTACTCACGACAGCTTCTCTCTGACTGAAACATCAATATAACTGTTTTTCAGGTGTTGTAGTGGTGAAGGTGGCAATACAAGTCGTTGCGCTTCACCTGCGAACGGTAGAAACAGCCGTGTGGTCTGGAAACCCTTTGGAGTGTTAGCTATTTTGCATGTGCTATGGTAGGTACCTGATTCGAAATCTTGTGCGCGATGGTATGGCTCCTGACTTTACTCCAGTAGAGATAAAGATTAGAAACCAATACTACTGTACAACCCTTGCGAACTAATGTTGAAATATAATGCCACATGTCTTCTGCTTCGGCGTCGAAAATTGGTCTGTCGCGTTATTTCAGACTTGTGAAAGAGGCATTCTGACTAATAGACTCAAATCAAGCCAGTTATTTTGCACTTCACTGGGCTCGCTGTGGGAAGTTGACGAGGATAAGTGAAAAGCCCGCAAGAGCTGGAATCGCTATAGGTGATAGAACCTGTGGCGGAGTACTTTATGCTAATAAACTCCTCAGGTTCATCAAATGCATTTCAATCCCTGTTTGTGTAGCAGAATGGCGACTATGCCGGGCTTCGAGCACTGGGTACAACGTGGATCACAGAGTATGCATGCATGCTTCCTATATCAAAGAGTATTAGTTGCAGATAGGGCCATCAACGCTAGGACTATACCAAACTTCGGACTGCGTATCTGCGATTATAACGCTTCCAAAATATTTATTTGTACTCGCTCCCTTCATCCTGTCAAGGCAGGGTCCAAAGCACACTCAACGTATGGCACACCGGAGTGTAATAATCTCCTACCGCTATGCTAATCGGGCCTAGTGCCAGCTTTGGGATTGAATTGGTGTTCACAGGCCTCTTCGCATCTCGTAATACTACTTATATCAACCCAAGCAACAAGGTTCAATGGAAGTCTTGGATATTGATATTAGTACATATACGACTCGCATTGGACCAAAGAGCCAGTAATCATCATGGTGTCCAAATACTCCCTCTTCACTGCTATCGTCTTTCTCGCCAGTTCGAGTTATGCTCACGTTTACGATGATCTGGCGCCTCCAACGCCTGCAGCTCCTCATCCAACTGTTCCCCGTGGTTATAGCTGTGTCTGCCCAACCGCCCCAGTTTCCACGAGCGCAGTCGTGACGAAAAAGAAGCAACGAACGACTGTCCCCACTGTTATCCAGCGTGTGTTTGTACAGTCAGCGCTACTGCGATGGGCACTGACATTTTGCCATGCACATTCCTTCTTAGCGTTCACATATACCTCGGGTGCCCTCGAGAGAGCGATTGGCATGGGTACAGCTGTAACGACTGCACCAGATCCAACGTGATAAATATCTTCTGCATGAAGAGATACGAGCTATACTGAATATTGATGTAGGCGTACTCTATATCCCCACATCTTTCACAACTATGGAGGAAGAATCACCTACGCATCAGGTTGCCCTACTAGTGCCACTGTTGTCGAGTTTCCGATGTGGAGTAACCCTGCCCAACCAGGAGCAGACACGAATCGCGTGTTGTATGGCTATAACAATTTTGAGTTCTGTGGTATGTTCAAATTCAATGGAATTGTCAAGCTCTTTCTCAGGTGCTGATCGTCACGTCAGGTTGCATTACCCACCTTGGGGCTGCCAACCCAGGTGGATTTATTCAGTGTCGATACCCAGTCCCAGTCGTCGCCCAGGCAGACGAAGAGAATGATGATCAGGTGGATAATGGAGGCTATGTCGACCAAAATCAGGTTCCGTTAATTGTATGAGCTTTTAGGTTTTGCTGTACGGTGTATGATATTTTGGTGTGAACGGTAACCAATTCCGATCTCAGTGTAAAATAGGACAATACCGAGAACGATGCAACTTAGGCTACAGTAGTTCTGGCACTGAAGCACGAACAGAACAGAATACAGTGGCGCAATCTCTCTTCTCTTGAGCCACATCAATCAAGACACCTCTGACGGTGATGCCATTCTAATGGCTATTTTACATGGTTAGTTCCTCATACAGTGCTCGGAAAAATTGAATAAAATAAAATAATAGCAGCTATGATAAGATTCAGATAATAATCTATTCAGAATCAGCCTTCCAAGGCACAAAAATGTTGCCTGAAGCCATAACACCCAGGAGACCACCTAGATCAGCAAGTAGGAAGCTCAATGACATCCTGAACACCATTCAGGATGCCAATTGGTCCCTTTCTGACTTTCTTTATCAGTGATTTTGTGTAGACAGTGCCCCCAAAGTACCCACCAACTGATCTCCTTATTTGTCATATCCATGTCAGAAGGCATAGCTTTGGAATTCCGAAGAGGACAAATTCTCAAATCCAAACCCCCAAATATTTGGTACTCTTGGGATTACGCTCCTTATGTCCTGCCATTCAGCATAACCCTGTACCCCACCTCCACATGGTACTCCGGACATCCGCTCCAATACTCCTGCACTGGACTTCTAGTCCGCCATATGTTTCCTCTGCATGTTCTCATATGCCTCATGGACTCTGTAGTTTCCTTATGGTACACTCCTCCCACATACAATTTCCCCTCGCTAGATGTTACAACCAAAGTTTTTATACTCTGACACACAGAAAGAACAAGCAGAGAGGAGTGAGTGAGAGAGTGGATAAACTTCCTTAGGTTTAGGACCAAGTTTGCTGTGGGTAAACAACAGGAGGACTGGCTGAGGAGTCTCCTTGATCTATTGGGGTATATATACTACTACAGACCATTTGTACATGTGTACTATACAGTTGATGAAGGCAGTGGCTGATAATGTCATAGGGCACAGCCCATGTGACCAGCTCCATTGCGTGAGAGACTAGTAGCTAAGAATAAAGAAAAGCAGTGCAGTGCAAAAAAGTGGAGTTTGAATAAAATGGAAAGTGCCACATGGCACAGTGTGTGAAAGCTACAGAAGAAAGTTAAAGTGGAGAATGAAATTTAAAGGTCCAAAAATTGTATATTGTAACACTAGATAATTGTCCACATGGAACCATGGAACTCTGTACCTACATTATGGGTTACTCCTTACGGACTCCCAGTCCTCTGATAGTATATACAGTGACTCCAAAAATTGTTGCAATGTTTGGCCTAAACATGGTGCGCAAAATGCACCACTCACAGGCATGGGAATGTCGCTTGACTTTGGTGGGGTTGACAAAAGTACTTGGTCTTGGGGTCTTGGCTACAAAATGGTTCCTTGGTCATGTGATTTGGCCCAGCAGCTGTGGAGATATGTCCATTTCAAAACAGCAATACTATTGCAACAGTTTTTTCACTTTTAAGTTGGAAGCAGAGATCACAATGATGTCATAGAATATCTGGCTTTGTTTGGTCCCACAAACAAAGATACATGTATAACATTGTTTCTGAGTTTAAAACAGTTCACACACTTCTTTATTCTCAACCATCATCATCATGAAATCCCTTTCTCCTGCTCAAAAGAACTAGATTCTTAACCTCCTTGATGCAGGTCAAACTGCTCACTCCATTGCCTCTACCACTCGTGTCCATGTCTCTACCATCTCTAGACTTCGTTCCAAGGAACATTTTGAGCTCCAAAAGTCTGTTGGAGGTCGTCCATCTAAGCTTTCTTCTGCCAATATCTGCCATGCTATGCATCTCATCTCCACTTGCAAGGCAGAAAATGCTGTCCAGATCACCAAAGCTCTTACCAACATCATCAACCAACCTCTCTCCCCAAACACTGTCCGCCAGCACTTGAAAAAGACTGGTATAAAGGCTGTGGTCAAGTGGAAACACCTTCTTCAATTGCTTAGGGTCAGATGGACGCAAGTGGGTGTGGAAAACGCCAGGTGAGGGGCTCAGTGATAGATTGATACAGAGAACTGTCAAGTTTGGAGGAGGTTCTATGATGATCTGGGGCTGTATGACTTGGGAGGGAGCTAAGTATGCTGCTAGAATTGATAGTAGGATAGATGGGGACCTTTACCTTCAGATTTTGAAGGATGAGCTGCTGAACACCCTGCAGTATTATGGTTTCAATCCTCCTGACATCATCTGTCAGCAAGGCAATGACCCCAAGCATACCTGCAAAAAGGTTAAGGAGTGGCTAGATGATCAGGAATTTAGAACTATGGTGTGGCCTGCACAGTCTCCTGACCTTAATCCTATTAAACATGGGTGGGGCTGTCTCAAGAGGAGGCTTGCAGAGTATGAACACCCTCCTAATGGGATGGAGGAGTTGTGGGAGAGGATTCAAGTGGAGTGGGAGAAGATAGCACTTGCAGAGTGTCGCAACTTAATTGAAAGCATGCCTAGGAGGATTCAAGCAGTGCTCAAGGCAAAAGGAGGCTATACCAAGTACTGATATTCCCTAGATATCTCCCTTGATACCAAAAGTAAAAAACCGTTGCAATGGTATTGCTGTTTTGATATGGACATATCTCCACAGCCGCTGGGCCAAATCACATGACCAAGGAACCATTTTGTAGCCAGGACCAAGTACTTTTGTCAACCCCACCAAAGTCAAGTAATATTCCCATGCCTGTTAGTGATGCACTTTGCACACCGTGTTTAGGCCAAACATTGCAACAGTTTTTGTAGTCACTGTAAGTTGTAGCTCCTGTACTCCATTCCTGCAATTCAAATATCACCCTCATCTTTATTCAAGTCTCCTTCTAAGCATTCTGGTCCTTCTTCAAAGGACCTTTAC